GACTGTGGTTTTGACGCGGCGACGCCAGAGGCTGACGCTGGTGCAGACGGTGGCGCAGACGGCATCGAGTAAAAAAGATGTTTATGCATTTTTTCTTGTCTTGTTCGCCGTTTGGCGTTTAGGTGTTTCTTGTTTTTTTATTTTATTTCTTGTATTGATCGGCCTTGGGTGGGTGTAAGCGGGGATGACCCGCAATTGACTTTGTAAATATACAAATTTTCTTTTCCATTGCCTGCCTTGTGCTTGTTTTATGTCACTGTTTTTCTTTCGTTCTTTAGAGTTTTTGTTGCGCTTTTTGTTGACCGTTCACGTTGGCGGCCCTAGTCGAATTTAGATCGACGACTTTAGTCGTGATAGAATCGACGGCCTTAGCCATAAAGGCAACTTCGACCGTCGTCGGGTCGTTTACTCACCGCAGTCGAATCTAGGTCGACCGTTGGCGGCGATGGCCTTAGCCATAATATAGTTGATGGCCTTGCTTTTTTCAACTCAGTGCGGGCGAGTCTTAGCCGTTATTTGGCGATAGCGGCGCTTAGCCTTAGTCCCAGTTCGGACGCAGTCGAACTACCGATCGTGATGGTAGAAAACGCGGCCTCGTAGTTTGACCGGGGCCGAACTTTACGTGGCCCGAATCTTAATTCGAGTTAGGAGGACTTACTTGAATGGAGAGGGTGCCTACCCTGCGCTCCGATTTGTTGGAGGTCGGGCTTTGCAGATGAAGGCGTTTGGCCTGAGTCTCGGTTCAACTGTGGTTGAACTTGCTAAAGTTGAGGACGAAGGCGTCCATCCTTGCAGCTCGAGCAAGGTCGAGCTCGTTGGATTTAATGGCGAAGGCACATAGTCCGAGTCTTGGTTCAACCGTGGTTGGACTTTGTTAAATTTGGTGGCGAAGGCACATAGCTTGAGTCCCGGTTCAACCGTAGTTGAACTTTTTGGCGAAGGCGCATAGCCTGTCTTGGTTCAACCGTAGTTGAATTTTACTGGCGAAGGCGCATGGCCTGAGTCCCAGTTCAACTGTAGTTGAACTTGTCGGTGAAGGCGCATAGCCTGTCTTGGTTCAACTTTTTGGCGAAGGCGCATAGCCTGAGTCATGGTTCAACCGTAGTTGAATTTTTAGTGAAGGCGCATAGCCTGTCTTGGTTCAACCGTAGTTGAACATTTTGGTGAAGGTACGTAGCCTGTCTTGGTTCAACCGTAGTTGAACTTTTTGGTGAAGGCACGTAGCCTGAGTCATAGTTCAACTGTTGTTGAACTTGGTTGATTTTGATGATGAGGGCATGTAGCCTGAGTCCCATATTGTGGGCATTGAGTGCTGAAACTCGTTTTGGATTCGAGACCTTGAGCGGATTATCCGTTGTCTTCCCAACCAGGGTATATAGGCTGTCCTGAGGCGACTCTCGGCTCGAGATATCTCCTTGCCGGTTTCTGACCGGAGCTCGTGTGCCTTACAGAGACTTTCCCTTAGGAAGGGAGGGGGAGGCTGCTTCTTCTTGTTTGCACCATCTGATAGATGAGAGACAGAGGAACTGGATCTTGATTCGAGATCTTCGAGTTCCATCGGCCTGATATGCCGCTTTGGCTTGTTTAAGCTGGGTTGTTCTTCCTTTTCCGGCGTTTCTTTCCTTTTGGTCCATGGAAGAACTACGCGATTTTGCTATGAAATCCCCACAGACGGCGCCAAATTGTTTGGCTCAAAAGTTAACAATATACTTTGTAAGCTAAAAAATAATCAAAATAAATCACGGGAAAATCATAGCAAATTGTAATAATCCATTGGACCAAGCGAAGAACATGAAAATAAGTACTCAAGGTTAGGGGGAGAAACATTGGAAGCCTTTATTGATAATATTGGTTTGGTCTGCCTCTCCATGAAGAGGTTCAGAGCCTTACAATGGTGTTTTCACTTCCCATAAGATGGGTGTGTTTTTCTCTTCTCTCTCTCTCTTCTCCATAGTGGTGAAGAAGCAGCCCCCTTTCTAGGGCTTCCACTCTTAGTATTTATAGCTGTGGGCTTTGTGATCTGGCGATAAGTGGCCGTGACCGCGTTGGGATCTCGCCTTTATGGTGGCGGATAGGCCATGGCCTTGTCGATCGAACCAGATGCGGGTTGAACATCGTTAATTCTGAGTAGTCGTACCATTAATTAATCATGAATTAACTTAATACGGGATTAGCCTCGATAATTATCGTGGGGTCGAATTCTGACCCATACAGAACTAAAGAACGTGTCACATGTCATCTTTTTTCTTCTAAAGCTTAATATCTAATCCTGCACCGATGTATATATTTAAAAAAAAAGAGAGTATTTTCTAGGTAACTTCAATTGTGCAAGTGTTCAGCAAATAAAATTCGAACTTAATAAGACTAATAGCCTGTTTAGGCTACAACTATGATAAGATATTCAATTATCAAGATAGCATCAATAGCAATTAGGCAATTAAGTGTGATTTACTTGATAAGGGAAAAAGAAGATGTCCCTTAAAGACCCATTTACATCTCGCGTTTTCGTACTTTAAAGTTTCAACCTTCAGTTAATTGACATAGACTCGAGGATGACATTATCTTGAGGTTAACATATTTATGCTATTTATAACAAGCGGTAAGTAAGTGCCATGAAAGATAAAGGGTGGGTACACGAATTAAAGAAAATGAGTTTCGTTCAAGGTTGGCGATTTGGGATGGAATACGGTCCGAGATATAACACCCGATACTTATGGACTAGTACCACACAAGGTACCATATGACCGTGATAATATGATGTATAAAGTATATTAAAAATGAATAGTATTTTAAGTAATTTGAAATAATTCTTAATTATACGGATAATTGGTTAATTATCGGGTAAGGGGACATTACTTAATTACCTAATAAGTGAATAAAGATTAATAGTTCCACCCTACCCCACGTGGCAGCAAGCCACTACAGACCTATGACTCTTGGTCATATGGGCTTAGTGGCCATCTAAAGTTATAAGGCACTTACGTGTAAGTAAGTGTACATCATAATCTTGGTTTCATAAACATTACAAAGTTTGGTTCTTCCTAAATTCATATACAAGACATTCAAACCAGACGCTCAAACTCCATCCAGTAAACTTTTAACAAAATTCTCTTCAACCAACAATTCCAACGAGAATTGTTAGAACCGTAGCAACGTAAAATTTTGCGGTTCTAAAGGAGTACAATGTAATCTTTTCCAAGGATATTATACGGATATTTTCCCTATTCCAGGTATGTTAAGGCTATCCCTTCTTTCTTTTTGGCGTGATCCAAATAACACAAATGAAACGAGTAAAATACGCAACTTTCATAAATGACTTTATTCATAGAAATACTAGGAGTGTCTATATTTTTGATTCCCTATGTGAATTATTATTATATATTCTGTTCATGGGTCTCAGAAAAATACGTATTTGATAAAGTTTAGCCGAAAGGTATATTGATTTTTATGGCATTCCAATAAAATCTTATCAACGTATTTCTTAGGCATTTCAGGCATTTATACGTGTACATTGACCCATGACCAAATGGCGTTGTATACGCGTATATATGTATATTATGTGGATATGGGATATGGGAAAAAAGTTACGGCGTTATAAACGCACCACCACCTGATCAGTTGGTATATGTTGATGATGTTGCTCACAGTGGCCGAGACGATATGATGGGATGCCTCAGTGGCTTGATGATGTTATGCACACCTATACCTATGCATGACACGCCATTTATATGCACGTGCATGACATTATAAATGTTTCAGAATTTACAAAGTTATTCAGATTTACAGATGGATCTCTTTATTCCATGTTTCATCTATGGCTTTTATGTACTGATTTTCATGTCTTACATACTCAGTACATTATTCGTACAAACGCCCCATTTCCCGGGGCCTGCGTTTCATGCCCGCAAGTGCAGGTAGCCAAGCCGACGGTCCCCCTTCTAAGGACCCTTGATTAGCGAGAGTTGGCGTGCTCCACTTGATCCGGAGCTGCTTTTGATTTTGGGACGATATGGTTGCATATATATATGGATATGACGTGGCTTAGTCCCGTTTTGTACAGTTGTATTTCTATTAGAGGTCTGTAGACAGTTATGTATAGTTGGATAGCATGTGGCCTTGTCGACTTTCAGTTTTGGGTATATAGTTGTCTATAGCAGCCTTGCCGGCTCGCCCATAGTATTTCGCATGTATATGTACATATGCCTTTTTGGCAAGTTTCCTTCATGTATGTTATTCTCGTAATTCAGCATACGTCATTCAGGTTTATATCTTAGACGCATGCTTAAGGATGTTCGACATGTAGGATTCGGACCTCCGTCGCGGTCCATCGGTTTGGATCGTGACAAAAAGTAAATTCATACGTTTTTTAATTACTAGAACCTCTTAACTATACTATAGTCTCTAAAAGGATTACTTGAATGAAAGAGGCCAAGCTTCTAAAAAAGCTCAGGCCCCGCGAGAGTACTATTGGATTAGATTACAAATAGGCACAACGGTTTCTGAAAAGATACATTCGGTATGTTATATACAAAAATTATATAAACTTCTATATTTTTTCGATTGCCAAATATAAATAGTTTCTAGCGCGAGCTTAAAAAAAATATCTAAATTACACATAGGCACAACGGTCCCACGAAAAGAAAAAGATATTCCAAGTTGAAACAGGAAGATATAAAGCCACGCGGTACTGCCATTTACTAGACAGTCGACACAAATACTTTGCATCACATGACCCATGATATAATGTCTGTCCCAACAAGATTACAAATAAAGTAAAAATAAAAGAAGAAGGGGGTTAGATTTGCAAACTGACAATACTGAAAGCGATAGTTTCAATAAAGAAGATATAATTTCAAAATTTGCAGCAGTTTCGAGGATGACCAAGTCCAGCCATAAAGACAAGCAAAAAAGAAAGAACCATTACAAAGAAGGAAATGAGTTATTCAGATCCAACCATTGTACACAAGTAGGAGCTTAATTTAGTTCAGCTAAAATTTGCTGAAAAGAAAATGGCTAATTTTCTTATGCTCAAAAATCGTCTGGCTCTTTTGGTGCTGTTAGTTACTTACTATTGTTACTTGGGAAATTTGACGGTATGTGCTCAACAGTTCAGACCTGGATTTGTATACACCAGAAACAGAGGGAGATGCACTCCTCAGTAAGACTCTTCTCTTCACTTTCTACTAATTTTATGTCTCCTTTAAAAAAAAAAAAAAATCTCAGTTGGGGCGAGTGAGGTAATTTTAGGTATGGTATTCGGTATTTTTGTATTCGATTTCTTAAAATGTTATACAATTACAATAATTAATTACATTCGGTATGGTTCGGATTTTCTCTATTTGGTTTTGGTTTATTCGATTTGGTAAGTTCGATTTATTCGGCTTGAATATTAACCAGTGCATAGAACCATAAACTTTAATTAATTAAAGTACTCAATAAAAACGTCCTAAGCTCACCCGACCGTTGATAATTTGTCCAAAACCATCAAGTATCAAGTATCAACTAAGAGAAGAAGGCACATAAAGAAATACATTTGATCATTGGAAATATCATGTTATTTGCTTAGACTATCTCCAACCCTAACACCAAATTTGATACCACTCCAACCATTACGCCATTTTTTACACAAAAAATGAATATTTCTTCTCTCTCTTAAATATTATATTATTATCTTCTATTTAAATTTTATTTTTTATATCCTTCAAACAAATTCTATCTTTTTTCTTTTTTTTTCATATTCATCATATATAATTCAGATTCACCATTTATATAATCATTTATTACAAAATTATTTTAAAGGATAAATCAACCAAAAGTGAAATCATTGATAAATACAATTGGTGTATTAATCCTCAATTATCGTGTTGTGCAGTATAATACATGTGGTCATTGTATAATATATATAAAAATTGACATATCAAAAAAATAGGATATAAAATTAAAATTATAAAGATCTTAATATAAAAATTAATTATATACACAATATATGATAAATTAAAAGTCCAAAAAAATAAAAAGATAAATAAAATAATAATAAATCAATTTTGGTGTTGATGAATAGTGTCGCACCAAATTTGGTGCAACATTATTCACGCACTATAATGGTTGGTGTTCCATTGGAGCAAAAAAAAATACCAAATTTTACACCAAATTTATATTTGATGCAAAAAGTAGTGCACCCTTGGAGATGCCCTTAGAGTTAATTATCTAAATTAAAGAATACAACAAGGACTAACTAATCCAACATAACAATACAAGAGTAACGGATTAAGAAACACCCTACAACCGTTAAAACATTACGTTAAACTGCTTGACAACCTTGAGAGTAAAAATCAAAATCCTCCATTTTCTTAAAGAAGTACATGGGTTTTACTACCAACCTCAACATGAATGCCAAAGATATATATCGTGTAACTTAGTATGTTAATCAATAATATGTGTAATGTATAATTTAGTACATATTTTGGTACTGTATCAGTATTTCGTTATTATTTTTTTTAATACCAAATAACAAACCTAACACCACCTTATTTTAAAAACTTAAACCAAATACCTTACCAAATACTAAAATACCGAATACCAAAATTTTAGGTTTTGGTATTGTAATTCTGTATTTATCATATTATGCACCATCCTAGAGAGTAGTGCAATATTAACTAACTATGGTTTACTGATAAGCATCTACGTGAATAGAGTATCATGTAGTCCAGTAAGTTTTTGCTAAATCTGGGGAACTGTTAATACCCTGTTTTACTTGAGGATGGAAGATTTCATGGAACAGTAGTAAAGGCTATGAAAAAGCTGCAACATTTCTAAAATAACCAACTAACTAATAAAGCTGGAATAAGGATAATAATCCCGGGATAGAATTTGAGATTAACTTTATTTATGTTTGGTCTGAAGTATTAGCTAATCTCGGGATAACTTTTACGCTAAAATAGTAGGATCAACTATCTCATATAGAAGGTTGGAAATCCCATGATATATCTCACCGTTGTACTAAACAACCCCTTACTAATTTGCTGCTGTTGGCAGGTATTGGAGCAGCAGGAGAGAGTCATGGCCGAAGATGGTGCCGGAAATGTCAACAGTATCAAAAGTATTCGGTTCAAGGGCATACGAGCGATACAGGTACGATCTTACACTCCTAGAAGCTGCGGGAAGAAACGATGATAGGGACAATATATTTGCAAGATTAGTGAAGCAATCAACTGCAGCATTGTTGAATTCATATGCTAGAAAGAATTATCCGTATAGTGCTTGGGAAGTAAAGACTATGCTCATTCAAGCTTTGGTTTCTGAAAAATCTGCTGCTGTTTTAGCTCAACGTTTATCTGAAGCTAATGAAGCCTGCAATTAATAGAGTAGCTTCTTTTTTATTGTTTTTAAGTGACTATTAATGTGGTTAATCTTTTGTTAGCTTTTGTTTTTGGTGTGAGCTGTGAAGCTTTCACTGTTCATGCTAAATGTTATTACTGCTTATAGTACTGATTATAAACCTAACTAAAGGAGATAGGATTAAGAAATCCTTTCATTTAATAGTGATTGAGTGAATATCATGCGGCTTGCATTCGGTAATTCTACTGCCAATTGCTGAAGCTGCAAGCAATGGCTTTCAAACGTAGCAAAAGAAAATGGAGTCGTGGCATAATGATTATTCTTTAAATTCCTTTCATCGAATTGTAAAAATAATTTAAAAAAAAGGCAACCCGGTGCACTAAGCTTCCGCTATGCGCGGGTCTGGGCGGGAAAGGGCTTTGTGGTCCATTGTACATAGCCTTACCTGCATTTCTGCAAGAGGTTGTTTTGCGGCTTAAAAATGGTTCATCTTCATTATCTAAGTTAAGATATGCTGTCCCAACAAGAGGATGTGTATTGCTCTTTGTGAGAATTGCTTGTATATCTGGTCAATTTTTCCAGATATAAGATTAAAAGCTTTCATACACAATTCATACCTGCAACCAGAACATGCAGATTGCAGACTTCAAACACCGTAAAAGGAAGGATAAAGATATGGTAGTCAACATTTGCTGATTTCCTAAAAAAAAAGGACAACCTGGTACAAAAGGCATCTCGCACTCACGCAGGGTCCGGAGAAAACACCCTAAAGGGTAATCTCGCACTCACGCAGGGTCCGGAGAAAACACCCTAAAGGGTATAACGCAGGCAATATACCCTAATACAAGCATTAATGACTGTTTCAACCGCTCGAACTGGAGTCACACGAAGACCACACCAGAGAAAGGGAAAGAGGGAGGGGACTACACCATAGGCTAATGCCCTCCCTTCTCATAGCATGCTACTGTACCCCAAGTAGAGTGACAATTTCAGTTGATTTACATCCTGACTTTCAGGATTATAATGGTGAAATTATATTGATAAGTGCGAATTGCTGCATTGAAATTAATAACACCGGACCCCTTTCACTCTATTATATTCATCAGTAACTTTCTTCTCCTCATTTTTGGCCACTTCAAATTCTTTAGTAACATCTTCATACTTTTTCAGTAGATCCTTGTATTGATCTACGGCCTTCAGATTTGGAGTTGTTCTTTCAATATCTGACGTCAAGGCTACAATTTTCTGTGTAAAATCCACCTCATGCATTTCCTTGTCAGTAGGGCAATCCGGTGCAGTAAGCTCCCGTTATGCGTGGGGTTCGAGGAAAGGCCGGACCACAACGGTCTATTGTACGCAGTTTTACCCTGCATTTCTGCAAGAGGTTGTTTCCACGGCTCGAACCCATGACCTCCTGGTCACATGACAGCGACTTTACTAGTTACGCTAAGGCTCCCCTTCTTAGCTAGTTTACCGAAATAAAAAAACAGGGCCAGGTGTAAACTCTTCAGTGTCCATTGGATCAGATATGGTGGGTAGTTCTATTTGCTCCAGTTCGCATTTCTCCAATATCTCTTGCTTTCTTGAATTCAGCTGCTCAATCTGTAAAGAATGAAAGCGCTCAGATGCTCTTCTTGTTTTTTCCTAATAGGTCTTCTCAACATATATGAACTCAATTTGCTGCTCAGAAGCAAAGATTACAAATAACAACAACAAACTCAGTGTAATTCCACAACTGGGATTTGCGGTTAGTAGTATATACCTAGACCTTACCCTTACCTTATGAAGATAGAGAGACTGTTTCCAGTATACCCTAGGCTCAAGTAACAGTGAACTAAATCAATAAACAATAGCAAGGGGATAAACTTTTAAAACAGAAATAAATATTGGTGAGAAAAGGACAAATTGGCTATTGCATACAGGAAATGGACAACAAACAATGGGCCTTCAGTTGCCTGCCATGACTAGAAAATGTACATGCAAAGGAGGAAATGAAATATTACTGAAATGGAGGTGAATGTATAGCTAGTTAACTACAATCATCAGGAAGTGATATTCCTTATTTACCAATTTACGGTACACATTTTGCATTTTGTGAAGTCCCAAAAGATGTTTTTTTTTTAATAAAGGTAAGAATTATTGATGTCAAAAGAAAAGCACTAAGAAAGTGTTGCCTAATTTTTTACTTGACTATGATAAAGTATATTGATTTGACGTAAACACCAAATTCGTATTACTCACTGTAGCACAGCCCTAGATTTGGATAACTATGGGGAAGAGCATCACTGCAGACTGTGATGAATGTAATTACTTCTCAGCAACCAAATTCATTTGAAGTAACACGCCCTATAAATATATAAGTGTATGAAAACTAACTAAAATTTCATTAGATGAATTGAATTCATAATTTTGAAAATACGATAAGGTTAATACTACGCAAAAGAATTTAAACATCATACTCATGAAATTTAAATTTGGTGTGCTTACAGACCGGAGGTGGGTTTGAGTAGAGTTATTAGGTTTGGCTTACATGGAGATAGGTAAGGTTAAAGTAGGAGAGGAGCATAAAGAAGAAAAAATCAGGTGGTGGGCCGCAAATCATAAAAGTGCATGGCTCTTTGTAGAGAAATGGAAAGGGAAGGAATTTATTTAACTATACCTCGCATTAAAAGATACGAATACCTGGAGCACAAGTTCAGTTATGTGACCCAAAAAGCGGATAAGAACTGAGGTTTGATACACAAGTCATCCCTAAGGAAAGAAGTTTCAAGTACCTTAGGTCAGTAACCCAAGGAAACAGGGAGATTGACGAGGATGTCACACATCGTATCGGAGCGGGGTGAATAAAATAGAGGCTCGCTTCCGGCATTTTGTGTGATAAGAATGCGCCACAAAAACTTAAAGTTAAGTTCTACAGAGTAGTGGTTAGACCGACTATGTTGCATGAGACAGTGTTAGTTTGAGTGCCCGTATTGATTACTACAGAACTTGGTTCTTTACCATATTCCTTAAACGTAAAGTAAATAAGCAATAAAATGAACACAACGATTTTTACGTGAAAAATAACACGGCTCAAAATGTGCAAAAACCACGACCCACTACGTAGGATTTTCAACTCCAACTCCACTAGAATAATAAGCTAAAATGTATCAATTACAAGACTGTAATTCAATACTCTCCGGTACTCCTACTACTCCTATTTGAATCATAAGTTACGCTACCCTGTAAAGCAAACACTCGCTCCAACTCAATAATTGTAAATGACACTTGGTTACAACTCAATTTCCTAAAACATATTTACTAGACTGACTCAAGAAGAATACAATGCAAGTACTCGACTCGAGTAAACGACTTATGACACTTTAGTTGATGCGTGCAAGGATAGTTCAGAAGTCCAAAGTTGATCATATCTAAACGCTTCAACTTGAGATCTTTTAGGAGCCTTATTCATAGTTAGCTTCCTCTTTGATAGGACTCCTACTGTTCCAAGGATTCCACAAGCTTTGTGACTTTTGCCTCTGACTGAATTATCCGTATCTTGTTGATCAAAGACCCTTATCACATATAATAGCCTTCTTCCACCAAACTCGGACTTGGGTAACTCTATGATAAAGTTATTGTCTTGTACAGACGTACAACTATCAACATGAGGAACCGATCCTTTATCTTGAGGAGCTGGTTCTTCAAAACAGATAAGCAGCTACGTTGAAGACATGGTTCTTTGAGCATAGTCATACATTGTTAATCATCAAAATTTCAATACTCAGCAAATTTTTCCTTTTTGATGATGACAAACTTTGTACACAGCAGAACCAAGTAATCACATGAAAGAACCAGAAAAACAAGTGACAAGTATTATTGACAGACATATATGTTCACAACCCACAACCTTCCAACCTTATCTTCCCCCTTTTGGCATCATCGAAAAAAACACAAAGCAAGTGTTAGATATTAAGCACAGATAATGTAAGATTCAATGCCAAACAGGCTACAACACAAGCTAAATTAATATCAAGGCAAACAGACTAGACTGATGCTCCAATATAGTATAAAGCAGTAAAGCAGAGCAAAAGGAGACATTAACTGGTGTCAAAAGAAGCCAAGGGCCTTATCTTCACTATTAGAACAAAATAAACTAAGCATACTGCAAACTACAGACTAAGACTGTCACAGCTCCTTTCTTCGAGGGAATCAGGAGTTTTTCCAATTTAAGTGACATTAATCGAAATGAGATTATTTATTTATTCAGGGTCGCCACTTGGAGTAATTTATGGTGTGCCAAGTCACCGATTTAATTTAAATCCCAAATCGAGGAAATTTGACTCTGTTTTAAAGTCTGCGAAACCAGAAGACCGAGTAAGGAATTCTGTTAATTCGGGAGAAGGTGTGAGGCACTCTCGAGTTCCGTGGTTTTAGTACGGTCGCTCAACTATCAATAAGTCGCCTAATTATCTGACTTATTACATATTTTAAACCTATGTGCATTTTTATTCCTTTTACCGCTTTTATTACATTACTCCATTTTAAGCTTTTATGGAATTAATCTGAGACGAGTAACGTTGTCGTTCACTCGTTGTTCCTACACATCGCAAATCACGTTACGTGAAGCACACCCGCAATTCAAATGTGAAGCGCACCCGTTCTAGCTTAAGGATTAGGTGGTGTGCTTTTTTTTTTTTTCTTTTTGATTTGGAATTCAAATGTTTGCCGCTGATTCTCTCAAATGTGTGCGTGAGAGCTGATGATTAAGGAAATGGGGTCTTTTTTCTTTTGAAGAAAGCAGCGGCGTTCATTTTTCTGGTGGGGCTTCTCTCTCTCTCTCTTTTTTTTTTTTAATTTTTTTTATTTTTTATTTTTGGTCTCTTAGGAGATTAAAAGGTAGGTTAGGGTTTGGTTGTAACTGGGTTTAAATATGGGTGTAAGAATTGACATGTGCTATTAGATTGGAAGGGAATAGATGGCTAAGATTAAATCTTACATTTACGTGGAGAGTGGGCTAATGGGTTGGGAAGAATGGGCCTTTGTCTTGTTGGGCCACTAAAATCCGAAAATAAGCTCCCAATTCGCCCAAATTCAATTCTTTCTCATTAAACAAAAATAAAAAATAAAAATAAAAATACTATCAAAATATGCTAATTAATCATAGTTAATAAGAATAAACTATTGAAGTGATATATATATATATATATATATATATATATATATANATATATATATA